GCCCTGGATAGAATGCTATGGCATCATCATAATTCACAGCAACCTCAAACTCCTGGGCTCAAACAATCCTCTTGCATCAGCCTCCTGAGCAGCTGGGACTACAGGTACCCACCACGATGCTGGCTAGTTTTTCTATTTTTAGTAGAAATAGAATAGTCTTGCTGTTGCTTGGGCTGGTCTGAGCTCAAGAGATCCTCCTCCCACCTCGACCTCCTAGAGTGCTAGGATTACAGGCATAAGCCACTGCAGCTGGCCAATAATAATATTAATGATCTTTAAAAAAATAGAAATAAAAGTAAACCCTAGGGATCTAGAATTGAAAAGAAAACACAGAGTAGAGGTGATAAGCACAAATCTGACAATGTAAAATGCCAGCAGGCCCCTCGGAGATGGGATTTGAACATGTCTTCAGCATAAGCAACTACAGGGCTGCTATGCCATTCACTGAGATGAAAATACTAAGGGAGGGTTTTGCAGCATGAGGACAGGTACAACCTGTTGAAGTCTGAGATTCCCAGTACACATTCAAGCACAGACATCAACTAGGAGACTGAATATTCCAATCTATAGCTTAGGTGACAGCAAAGGACTAAAGATATTAATTTAGGCATCATCAGCATACAGGTGACATTTAAAACTGCAATTATCTATTTATTTTTTAAGATACAATTTAAGAGTTATTGCCTGTGAAGCTGTAAATGACTCTTATGCAGGGTGAAGGGCTCTTGAAGGAATCTGGATCTCTTACACACTCTATAACTATTTGTTTACCTGCTCCCTGTCATTCCTGAGCCCCAGCCCAGTGCACAATCCAGAATGATGACTCAGATACTGGTCCAATGATAATTCTAAGGTTTTAAGTGCTACTCCTGGCATAGTACTAAATAAAACAATGGGCACTCAAAAAACGCTCCTGAATGAGGAAATGAGCCCACCTTCTGAGCAGCCAGACTCTGGCTGCTTTCACTGAGAGCCAGACATGTAAAGTACTGGGCGCACTCGTCTAGATCCGTTTGGGGTAAAGAAGCCAGCAGCTGTTGGAGCTCTTCCTCAGTGGAAGAATCCTGAAATAAGGAAAAGAAATTCCTCATAAATAAACTCAACCAGTGAGTACAACAAAAATACATGAGAATCAAAAAAATATATATATACTAAAAACAGATTAAAAAAAATTTTTTTTTTTTGAGATAGAGTCTATGTCACCCTCGGTAGAGTGCTGTGGTGTTGTCACAGTTCACAGCAACCTCAATCTCTTGGGCTTAGGTGACTCTCTTGCCTCAGCCTCCCAAGTAGCTGGGACTACAGGCACATGCCACAACACCCAGCTATTTTTTTAGAGGTGGGTGGGTTGCTCAGACTGGTCTCGAACTCCTAAACTCAGGCAATCCACCTACCTCAGCCTCCCAAGTGCTAGGATTAAAGGCATGAGCCATCACTCCCAGACAAAACAGAGCTAAATTAATACTTTTATTCTTGAAAACAGTCACCAGCCAGGTAAATAAATAATCATTTAATTTTGAATTCTGTATTTTCATGCCTGCAACTTCAATCTGAGAGACCTATTGCAAATCGTAACTATTTTCACCTCAGAGTGATATCTTGACATTCTTGACATCTTGACTCAAATTATTATACCCTTTCTAACTACAGCTATTTTTTAATCCAGAGTTCATTACAATCTCATTTTTTCTAATAATATCTAGTATATGCATTTTTCTACTTTTCAAAAACTGACTACTCTTGTAGAATTTTTTTTTTTTTTTGAGACAGAGTCTCACTCAGTAGAGTCCTGTAGTGTCACAGCTCACAGCAACCTCAAACTCTTAGGCTTAATCAGCCTCCCAAGTAGCTGAGACTACAGGGACATGGTACAACATCTGGCTGTTTTTTGTTTGTTGTTTGTTTATTATTGTTGTCACTGTTGTTTAGCAGGCCTTGGCCAGGTTCGAACCCACCAGCCCTGGTGCATGTGGCTGGCACCCTAACCACTAAGCAACAGGTGCCGAGCCTATTACAGAATTTTTAAGAGTTTCATTTTTGTTGAGCATGGTGGCTTACACCTGTAATCCTAGTACTCTGGAAGGCCAAAGTGAGTAGACCACTTGAGCTCAAGAGTTTGAGACTAGTCTGAGCAAGAGCAAGAACTCCATCTCTACTAAGAATAGAAAAACTAACCAGGCATTATGTTGGGCACCTGTAGTCCCAGCTACTTGGAAGGCTGAGGCAAGAGGATTTCTTGAGCCCAGAGTTTGAGGTTGCTGTGAGCTATTGATGCCATAACACTCTACTCAGAGCAACAGAGTAAAACTCTGTCTCAAAAAAAAAAAAAGTTTCATTTTCTAGTCTAGGAAAGAAACAGGCTTTAACATCTATGGTGATGGTTCTCAACCAGGGGCAACCCCAGAAACATTTGGCAATGTCTGGGTACATTTTTAGTTGTTACCACTAGGAGGCACTACTGACATCTAGGGCATGGGGGCCAGGGATGCAGCTAAACATCCTGCAAGCACAATCACCTACCACAAAGAGTGATGTGACCCAAAACAGCAACAGTGTCGAGGCTGAGAAAACTTAGAAGGTACCAACTCACGGATGTTGACAATGCTATGAAGTTACCCAATGGTTTACAGAGACTCCCAATCCCCGGAAGCAGAAATAATATAAGAACAGCACCTTTTGAAGAATCAACTTTTTGTACGAAAACTACAATTTCAGTTTTATATCCTAGTTTACCTGCTTGTGAAAAGGAGCCAACTACTCTTTGAAAGTTTATTTTGTACCCAAAGTGAAGGTGATACTATTTTTGACTCTTCAGATTATTCAATTTACTTACTTCTTTTAAAGATGGCAAAGGAGGTGGTGGGAGAAAAAAGCGAAGATCAGTCTCTTGGCTTCGTGCCAAACCAATGAGAATTCTCGGATCACAGGTCTGAGCAACTGTCCTGTACTGGTAATCTATTGAAAAAGTATACCTTTTGTTAACAACTAAATTCGCTTATAGTTGTCACAAGGATTAAATGAACAAAGTATTGAAAGCAATCTCATTTTTCAAGCAATCTACTTGAAAGCACTCTTAACTGCTCTACAGGTTTGTAGTGCAAAATTTCCCAAGTACTTTTTCACAGCTACAACTGCATTTACAATAAAGCTACATTCCCACATTCCCACAATTCATCAAACAGTGCTCAACACATATCTGAAAACCAGGTTGCAATATGACTTTTTAGAAAAAATAAAGTTCAAGTGTAAAAATTAGTAATTCAGAACCAATTTAACTTCTTTTCTAATAATTTCACTATTCAAAATTGTTCTGACTACTACTCAAAGCACATAAATTTGTAGTTAAGTCTACTGTCCTGGCTCAGTGCCTATAGCTCAGTGGCTAGGGCGCCAGCCACATACACCAGAGCTGGTGGGTTCAAATCCAGCCTGGGCCTGCCAAACAACAATGTCAACTACAACCAAAAAACAGCCGGGCGTTGTGGCAGGCACCTGTAGTCCCAGCTACTTGGGAGGCTGAGGCAAGAGAATCGCTTAAGTCCAAGAGTTTGAGGTTGCTGTGGGCTGTGACGCCACGGCACTCTACCAAGGGTGACAAAATGAGACTCTGTCTCAAAAAAAAAAAAAAGTCTACTGTGCTGTCGTGATGATATAGTGTTTTGGCATTCCAAGATGTCCATGAATATTTAGTCTGAGGCTCCAGATGACAGTACTTTGATTTAAACATGCTATTCCTTATATCTAATAGCAGTTATCTCTTTCCAAACCCCTTTTCTAGGGTTAGGGTTGAGTTATTTCCAATCAAACAAGCCAGTAAGTGATAAGAGGCTTAATATTCCTGAATAAAGCGCGTGTCTGACTAGTGACAGGCTACTAGTCTTGAGATTTTTTCTGGTTACGGATATCATGTGCATTTTGGAGGTAAAAAATAAGATGAGTGAGTTCTGCCATGATTTTCTATCCTAGAATGTGCATGACCTTTACTGTGTTTATTCTTTGAATGCTGAAATTTTAGACTTGGTCAACCTACTACTCAGCTATATCTTAGAGTGATAAGTCTTTATAATTTTAATAAGCTGGTATGTGCAACAATGTGAAGATTTCTTATCTGATTTAATAAATTGCTTGAACATTGAAAAAATAAATATGCCATTTTTTATGTATCAAAAACAAAATTCCATAAAATAGGAACCAAAAGAAAATGCAAGACCAACTTTAGGTGACAACTGTAAGAATCAAGAGTTTCTCTCAGGAAAATACATAATCAAAGCTTTGTTCTATTAGACAGTTATACTTATAGCCAGGCACGATGGCTCACACCTGTAATCCTAGCAGTCTGAGAGGCCAATGCAGGTGGATTGCTTAAGCTCAGGAGTTCAAGACCAGCCTGAGCAAGAGTGAGATCTGTCTCTACTACAAAAAGAAAAACTAGCCAGGTGTTGTGGCAAGTGCCTGTAGTCCCAGCTACTTGAGAGGCTGAGGCAAGAGGTTTGGGTTACTCTGTTACACTCAGGATAACAGAGTGAGACTCTGTCTCAAGAAAAAAAAAAAGAAAGTTATACCTATATACATGTGTGTAAATGTGGATCTGTGTGTACGTGTGTAAGTATACACCTGCCTCATCTGGTCCTACCAAACACACCTGACTATCAGGTCAACAAGTTTTCTACTTTCTTTATCATTGAAGTTTCTTCTTAAAAATTTTTTTTGGGGCTCGGCGCCTGTGGCCAATTTAACTTCTTTTCTAATAATTTCACTATTCAAAATTGTTCTGACCACTACTCAAAGCACATAAATTTGTAGTTAAGTCTACTGTCCTGTCTCAGTGCCTATAGCTCAGTGGCTAGGGCGCCAGCCACATACACCTAAGGTGGCGGGTTCAAATCCCCAGCCCGGGCCCGCCAAACAACAATGATGGCTGCAACCACAAAATGGCCGGGCGTTGTGGTGGGTGCCTGTAGTCCCAGCTACTTGGGAGGCTGAGGCAGGAGACTCGCTTGAGCCCAGGAGTTGGAGGTTGCTGTGAGCTGTAATGCCACGGCACTCTACCCAGGGGGATAGCTTGAGGCTCTGTCTCAAAAAAAAAAAAAATTTTTTTTTTTGGAGACAGTCTCACTCTGTCACCCCTGCTAGAGTGCACTGGTGCCACCACAGCTCACTACAACCTCAAACTTCTTGCCTCAGCCTCTCAAGTAGCTGGGACTACAGGCGCTTGTCACAATGCATGCCAGTTTTTCTTTTTTGAGACACAGTCTCATTATGTTACCCTCGGTAATGTGCCATACTGTCACAGCTCACAGCAACCTCCAACTCTTGGGCTTAAGCAATTGTCTTGCCTCAGCCTCCCTAGTAGTTGGGACTACAGGTACCTGTCACAGTGCCCAGCTATTTTTTGTTGCAGTTGTCATTATTGTTCTAGCTGGGCTGGGCTGGGTTTGAACCTGCCAGTCTCAGTGTATGTGGCTGGTGCCATAACCAGTGTGCTACAGGCGCCGAGCTGCAGTTTTTCTTTTTTTAAGTAGAGATAGATCTCACTCTTGTTCAGGCTGGTCTTGAACTCCTGAGCTCAAGCAGTCCACCTGCATTCACCTCTCGGAGTACTAGGATTACAGGTGTGAACCACTGCTCCTGGCTGTAACTTTCTACTAGAAAAAAGTTTTGATTGTGTATTTTCTTGAAACTCTTGATTCTTCTGCCTCTGGAGTAGCTACAGCTCAAGGGACTACAGGCATCTGCCATGGTACCCAGCTAATTTTTTCTGTTTTTTGTAAAGACAGGCTCTTGCTCTTGCTAAGTATGGTCTCAAACTCCTGGCCTCAAGAAATCCTCCTGCCTCAGCCTCCCAGAGTGCTAGGATTATAGGTGGGAGCGATCATGCCTAGCCCTTGATTTTTTTTAAATATTGTTTTTCTTTCTTTCTTTTTTTTTTTTTATTGTTGTTTTTCTTTTAAAGATGGAGTCTAGTTCTGTTGCCTCTGCTGGAGTACAGTGTCATAATCACAGCTCACTGTAGCCTCAAACTCCTGGGCTCAAGCAATCTTCCTGCCTCAACCCACCTAACAGCTAGAACCACAGGTGCATGATTCCACATCCACCTAATTTTTCTATTTTTATAGGTATCTAGGCTGGTCTTGAACTCTTGGGCTCAAGTGATCCTCCCACTTCAGCTTCCCAAGGTACTGGGATTATAAGCATGAGCCACCAGGCCCAGCCAAAATACTTTCCATATATATCAAGCAGAGTGAGTTATTTTGCTTCCTTCATCTCATTTCCTTCTCTTTTGTATCAGAATGGAGTGTTAGGTGAGGTGTGCCGCCTGTTCAGTGGGTCTCCTCACCGTGCCAGTGGTGGCTCTCTGACATTTCCCGCACGGCTTCCAGTCGCTCTGCTTTGTCGTGGGACTTGCTCTTCCTCAGCAGCAGCCACGTGGCACAGTCGTGATCTTCTATATCAACAGTACTGAAAGGGCCTTCGCAACAACAAAACCAAAGAAGAAGACAACATGAACAGTTAAGGTATCATTTTTATCCTCACTTTTATTTAAGATGGTAAATTATAAAGATCTGAAATCTACAACAGGAGAGGTAAATCCATATGCAGGATAGATAATGATGGGTATATTTATCTGTTCTGTCATATAATTTTGTTATAGTTATTATTGAGTATTCCATGTGCGCTTTTTTATGAGACAGAGCCTCAGGCTATCCCCCTGGGTAGAGTGCTATGGCATCATAGCTCACGGCAACCTCCAACTCCTGGGCTCAAGCGAGTCTCCTGCCTCAGCCTCCCAAGTAGCTGGAACTATAGGCATCTGCCACCATGCCCAACTAATTTTTCTAACTTTTTTGGTAGAGACAGGGTCTCGCTCCTACTCAGGCTGGTCTCAAACTCCAGAGCTCAAACAATCCTCTCACCTCGGCCTCCCGTAGTGCTAGGCTTACAAGCATGAGTCTACATACATTTTTTGATGAAATATTCTCATGAGAAAGCATGAAACGAATTTTCTAAAAAATTTAAAATTATGACACCCTCATGAAGAGAATAGGGTATATTTAATCTCAGTATTTATTTATAAGTATCTAAGGAAGGAATAAAATTGTCCAAAGCATTAAGCCCTTAAAACTCAATATAGTGCAAGAGAATAATGTTTCTTAATTTTCTACAGCTATAAAAAATATTAGTATGAGAACCGACCAAAAATACCCTCACATTGATCATTCAAATGACTTTCAGATTACTGACAGGAATTCCAAGTTAAATATTTCATACTTACCAGCAAACGGATTCCGTAATATCTTGGCTGTTGTTGCCAATACTTTTCTTACTGCTTTATGTAGCTCTTTTCTTGCCTGGTAGACAATCCCTAAAGTGATTGCAAACTTAAATAAAACCAACTACATATTCTTAATCCTATGCTCAGTACTTTAAAGAGAAATGTATAAACTAGAGTCCAATATTTTTCCCAAAAAATATAAAATAGCATCTTTATTATCACTATCAATAGAACTAAAACCGTTATGAGAACAAAGAGCTCTAGAATTGAAAATATGTTAACTCTCCAAGTCAGAGAAACTGACAGGAGAGTTGTTGTTGTTGTTGTTGTTGTTTTGAGACAAGAGTCTTACTATGTTGCCCTTCGTAGAGTGCTGTGGCATCGCAGCTCACAGCAACTTCTAACTCTTGGGCTTAAGCAATTCTTCTGCCTCAGCCTCCCAAGCAGCAGGAACTACAAGCGCCTACAACAATGCCCAGCTAGTTTTCTGTTGTTGTTTAGCAGGCCCTGGCTGGATTCGAACCCGCCTGCCTCGGTGTACATGGCCGGCGCCCTAACCACTGAGCTACGGGCACTGAGCCCAAAAACACTATCTAACTAAAGCTAACAAAATCCTCATATTCAACATAGAATTAGCAACATTCAGGAAAATGTTCCTTATTATAAGTCCACCTAAAAGTGAAATTGGATGATACCTTATTAATGAGATTAGACTATAATAAATTATAAGCTATAACTATCTGTGTAATTGAAATTATAAACATAGCACAAAATCAGTTTGAAATACATGAAAATGATGTAATAACAAATACTAACGGCATAGAGTAGTGATACACACAGCTCACAGACGGGGGAGTGGAACAGCCTGCCCCTCGGCGAACAGCCTGTGCTCACAGGCACACTCTGGCCGACAAGGTAAGATCAAATGTGGTGACTCATTAAACTACCTATATCTTTTTTTTTTTTCAAATTAATATGAAGATATATACCACTAGGTTACATTGTTTGCATCTGTAAGATAAAGTCAGGGTTATGGATGAGTCTTTCACCCAAGTCAGTCTACTAAATCTTGATGTAAAACAGTCCTCTACTTTAAAATTTCACATGCAGGCTCGGCGCCTATAGCTCAACCGGCTAAGGCGCCAGCCACGTACACCTAAGGTGGCGGGTTCGAATCCCCAGCCCGGACCCGCCAAACAACAATGACGGCTGCAACCAAAAAATAGCCAGGCGTTGTGGCGGGCGCCTGTGGTCCCAGCTACTTGGGAGGCGGAGGCAGGAGACTCGCTTGAGCCCAGGAGTTGGAGGTTGCTGTGAGCTGTAATGCCACGGCACTCTACCCAGGGGGATAGCTTGAGGCTCTGTCTCAAAAAAAAAAAAAAAAATTTCACATGCAACAAGCAGCCATTTGGTTGTCAATTGCTAATGAGGTTTCTGGGTGACCTCAATATTGAGAAGTAGACTGTCCTAACTAGTAAAGACAAGTTTTCCAGCTTTTGTTACAAATAATAAATATATATAAATCCATCTCCTAAGTTTGGATTTAAATTCCTTAAGGCAAATACCTCTGAGCCAAACCAAGGGCCACTGACCTGGTGGCCCCAGTAAGGTGTGGCATTTCAGGTACAGACTAAAATAGCCATCTAGTCCTCACTTCACAGTTTCAGGAAAGTCATAAACGTGGGTTAAATATAGAAGTCCAGGGCAGCGCCTGTGCCTCAAAAGAATAGGGCGCCGGCCCCATATGCCAGAGGTGGCGGGTTCAAACCCAGCCCCAGCCAAAAAAAAAAAGAAAGTTTAAAATATATATATATATATATAAGTCTAAAATTTGGTCTTCAATGAATTCTTTAGGGATATGGTTCTCACAGCATTTGAAGAGACAGCTGAATCTATCCCATTAATAATGTGTTCTAAATAAATTCGTTTATAACTTCAATAACTAGCTTTCATTTTTCACAAAGATGAGATTACTTTACAATAAACTTACCATAATTTTCTCTTTTATCTAAAGAAACTTGGTGAACATATATATATGACTTCATTTTTTCTCTTTCTACCACTTGAGTATCTAATGTCAAAGATTTCTTCAGGGCCAGAACTTCATATGTAAGAAACAAAGAACCTCTTAAAAAGAAACAAAAAAAATTCATCATAAGTACATGATCCAAATATAATACAAGAATTACTCTCCTTTAAGCTTTTCATAGTAAACTTTATTTATTTATAAATACACATACAATAATGTGCATATATTTATATAGTCACATAGTATATTACTACTTTTCAGTCAATGATGGACTACACATACAATGGTGGAGTTATTATTATGAGAGATAGAAAACTCATGAGTTATAATTATGGAGATAGAAAATTCCTGTCCCCCAGTGTCGAATCAGCCATGGCAATGTTGCGATGAAATGGGTCACTCAGGTGTCTGTGGTGATACCAGTGTAAACAAACCTACTGTACTTCCAGCTGCATACAACCGTAGCATAGGAGGAGAATACTGAATGTTCCCAACACAAAGAAATAACAAATGTTTGTAGTCGTGGATATTCAAATTACCCTGATCACATCATTACACATTATCTGTACTGAAACACACTTGTATCCAATAAATAATGTGCAACTATTATGTCAATTTTTAAAAGTCTACCATATACAATTATATATAGTACATAATACTATATAATAATAGATGACCGCATCAATCATTGGTTTATATATTTACTATACTATACTTTTTATCATTATTTTATTTTATTTTATTTTTGTTTTGGGTCCCTTGACAATTTATTTTCAACAATCTGGTTGGCTCAGAGATACCATCATGCCCGATAAATTCACAAAGGTAGAGAAAAAAAACTCTGGAAAACCAAGGGGAGAAATCTCTGACTCCCTTTAGAGGCAATTTTTTATCATTATTTTAGAGGGTACTTCTCCTTACTAAAAATAACATTAACTATAAAACAGCTTCAAGCAAGTCCTCCAGGAAGTATTCTAAAAGAAGGGATGGTTAGCATAAGCCCTAACAGCTCCATGCATGTTACTGTGCTGAAGACCCTCCAGTGGGACAAAATGCGGAGGACGAAGACAGTGATACTGATGACCCTGACCCTGTGTAGGCCTAGGCTAATATGTACGTGTCTCAGTTTTTAATAAAAATTATTTAAGATTAAAAAAAATTTTTGCTGAGTGTAGTTACTTGCACGTATAATCTCAGCTACTAAGGAGGCTGAATCAGGAAGATCTCTTGGGCCCAGAAGTTCAAGGCCAGCCTGGGCATCACATGAAGTCCTCTTTAAAAAAAAGTTTAGTGTAGCCTAAGTGTAAGGTGTGATAACATCTACAGTAGTCAACAGTGATGTTGTCGGCCTTCATGCTCACTCCCCACTCTCTCATCCAGACCAACCTCCAGTCATGGCTGAGTGCCCTATATAGGTGTCCTATTAGGAAAACATACATGTACACACACACACACACACACACACACACATTTCAGTTTAATGAATAATAATAGCTGTATAATGATAGCCAGGCAAGAGCAGAACATTAACAGTGACCCTGAAGCCCATTATTCATTCTCTCTTCTCTGTCATTTTTATTCTGAGTTCTTAGTATAATAATGTCCTTACTTTTCTTTAGAGTTTTACCATTTCTTTTCTTTTCTTTTCTTTTTTTGTTGCCCTCAGTAGAGTACCGTGGTGTTACAGCTCACAGTAACCTCCAGCTCTTGGGCTTAGGTGATTCTCTTGCCTCAGCCTCCCAAGTAGCTGGAACTACAGGTGCCTGCCACAACGCCCAACTATTTTTGTGTTGCAGTTTGGCCGGGGCTGGGTTTGAACCCGCCACCCTCGGTACATGGGGCCGGTGCCCTACCCACTGAGTCACAGGCACTGCCCAAGAGTTTTACCATTTCTGTATGCATCCCTAAACAAGAGAGCTTAGTTTTGCCTCTTTTTGAACTTCCTATGAACTGAATCGCACTTTATGCATTCTTTTGTTCAGCCCTATGTCTGTGTGAATCATCCAAGTTGCTGCAAGTGAATGTAGCTCTTGGATTCATATTCTCACATGGTGTGCCATTCATCCATTGTATGGATATACCACAGCTTATTTATCACTCTATCATAGATGGGCATCTGAGTTGACACAGTATTACAAACAATGGTGTCACACACCTTATACATCTACCCTGGGTACATGTGTATATGTTCCCCTGGAGTACTTACTTAGACATAGAATTACATACTTTCTGACAGTATAAATATTGTTCCAGTTTACTAGATAATGGCAAACTTTTTCCATAAAGATTCGCTATTGAAATGTTGTTTGTTTTGCATCCCAAAATGAACATTTTTTTTCCTGTTGAAATTAATTTACACACTCCATAAATCAAGATGCAAAGGCTGCACTTGGAGCTAGCAACATTATTATCTACACTTTCTCCTAACCTTTGGTGTATACCCTAAAGCAAGCAGGTGAGAAAGAAAGTTCAGATACTAGCCAGCACCAGAATGCAGAAAAGGCTCTACAGGATCCTCAGCTCTCTTGGGGATTTATCTGATCAGCCAAAAGGAGATTATGTATTGAGAAATTTCATCATGTCTTCTGTGACAGATAAAAATCCTTTCAAACTTGTATGACTGGCCAGGAGAGGTGGCTCACACCTGTATCTCTGCACTTTGGGAGGATGAGGGAGGAGGACTGCTTGAGCTCAGGAGTTTAAGACCAGCCTGAGCAAGAGAGAGACCCCCAACTCTACAAAAAATAGAAAAATTAACTGAGCATTGTGGCAGGCACCTGTAGTCCACTACTTGGGAAGCTGAGAAAGGAGGATTGCTTAGACCTAGGAGTTTAAGGTTGCTGTGAGCTAGGCTGAGGGCATGGCACTCTAGCCTGAGCAAAAGAGTAAAACTCTGTCTCAAAAATAATAATTAATTAAAATGAAATAGTGATTAATTTTCATTATATTCCTGAATGTAATTGTGATCTACACAAAGAAACTGCATTACAGAAAAGGGTATATGTATATTTATCCTGCACCTGGAATGAGTCAAAGAAAAAAAATCACCTAAATATGTTTTACCTTGTATTACAATGCCAGGGAGAAATCCATGCATTTGGATAAAATGCCAAATATATCTCTTTTGTCACTTTAGTATCTAAGAGTTGATTTTATATCTATGCTGGTGAAAAAAGCACTAGCAAATACAACAGAGTAGTATTAGATATACATTTAATGTATATATCCCCTGAAAAAAACCTAGAAGAAAGAGGATGAAAAACAGAACTCGCAGGAGGGTCCCTCTGCTCACTAAGCACACACCCCGCAGGAGCATGAGAGGGGAGCAGTCAATTTGCTGGTTTTCTCCAGCAGCTGCAATTTCCTTTCATGACCACTACGATGGTGTTTTAAGGAATTTTCAAAATTAATTTTGACTACAGTCTGTTTTTGCCTCTTCACCCACTTTAGAACCTAACACTAGACACGATTTTAAGTGTGCAAATGCCAAATGCCCACCGTGGACATGTCAAGAGTTTTTCCTTACAGCGACAGTGCCAGGCAGGCAGAGTCCCTACTGCACACTGGGATCCCAAGAAAATATTCCTCATGAGATAAAGAAGCCAGGTCAAGATAGCATTTAAGGTAGAACCAGTGACTAAATCCATCTGTCTAATTCCAAAACCTATACCTTCTGACTACCCCAGGCCACCTGTAAATCACTTCCACTGAGGTTTTGAATAGGACTGTAATAAAGCCAAATTAATATCTGTCAGTTGACAACTTACCCTAAAATAAGTGATCCAGTAAATTTTATTATATTTCCTTCGAAAAGAAAAGAAAAGAAGTCAGTGTGATGAATTTTCTTTTTAAAAGCGTGACAGGAAATAGGTAACAGTGTAAGTCTCTACCTATGTACTATATATTATCAAAAAAGAAGTTACTGATATTTTTCTATGTAGTATCAATTTAGTTGCTATCCTCAGATACAAACAAACCAGTCAATAAGCACTGGGTTCAAAAATGTAATATATATTTATAGCATTTCATATTCATCCTCCTCTTCCTCTATCTCTTATTCTTCCATCCCCCTAGGATAAAATCACTAGAGACCCCCACTGATATTGCTAGGACTACTGTGCTTCCATTGAATGCAATGTCCAGGGGACCTACTTCCCTTCTGACTACTTTTATTAACAACCAATTAAATAAAGGAAAGGGGAGACTGCTCCCTATGACTACTAAGACTATATTAAGAGATTATGCTGTCAATTAGAAACATAAAATGATGTTTCCTGAAGTAATTATATAAGATATAAATTACATTCTACAAGTTTTTAATAAATTTTTGTTTAGAACTGGAAAACATTTATTTTTTATTTTTAGAGACAGAATTCTGCTCTGTTGCCCAGGCCAGAGTATAGTAGTGTGATCATGGCTCACTGCAGTCTTGAACTCCTGGGCTCAAGCAATCCCTGCCTCAGCCTCCCAAGTTGCAAGGATTAGATGTGCATTCCACCAGATTGGCTTTTTTCTTTGTTACTGTATTGTCAAGGCTGATCTTGAACTCCTGGACTCAAGCAATCCTCTTGCCACAGCCTCCCAAAGTGCTGGGATTACAGGTGTGAGCCACTGTGCCTGGCCAAAAAACATTTTTTAACATTAAAAAAAATCCTACTGGTAGACACTGTTAATTGCCTATGGAATACATATGCCTCTTAATCTTGACTAACGTAACCTGATAACTACCCAAAAATATTGGAATTCCTAGAGACTCGGCAGCTGTGGCTAAAAAACACAGCTATAGCAAATCAGATTTGATAAATAAAGGAAATAGTGCTCAGAAAAGGTGAGAAATTACTTGAAATATGAAATTATTTCATTCTATCACTCAACAATTCTATTTGATTACCTATATGCCATACGTAAATAAACATCTAGGATATAATGGTAAAGAAAACACTACCCTCATAGAGTTTACACTCTATAAGGGAAGTTGGATAATTTCCTAAGTTATACATGACTCTACGAAATGATAAGCAACAGATCTAAGCTGGTCGAGGGCATCAGGGAAAGCTTCCTGGAGAAAGGCTGGGTGGGGACTACATCAGAACCTGTCCAAGTCCTGGCAGGGCCAGAACAACATCTTCCTTGCTCAGTACTGTATTCCCAAAACCTAACACAGGGGCCCAGCACCTTCTCTTGCGAGAGCTTAATACATGTCTCCTGAAAGAGAATGCAACTGTATTTAAATTTAGAAGGACGAATATGAAATCTGACAAGTAAAGTAGGGGAGGGAAAAGAATTTCTAAGAAAAAGGAGTATGTATGGGCTCTGGACCTAAAATTTGGGATAGACCATCAGTACAGAAAGAGAAACAGATCTGACATTTAATCATGAGGTAAATAAATTTGCGTGGCCCACCATGAAAACTTGACCACAATTTTAATCATTGTTTCTATTAAAAAAAAATACTGTTGTTTTAGCCATACTCACTGATATCTCTCCAGTATGTGTCCCTTTTTGGCGGGGGAGTAAAGGTTCTTATTCTTCTGCAACAGATGACACAATAAGCAGCCAGGGACATTCTGTGTACACAGAACAATTATAACAAATGTAACTCAGCATCTAATTCAAAACTTTTTCAACTATAAGAACATGTTAGCACCACATGAATTGACAGCCCACAGACTTAGACTTTCCAAAACCAGGAAAAAAACTTTTCTTTGTTTTTAATTATTATTTTTTTCTTTTTACATATACATGTGATTATTAGGTTTCCACTTTTTGCCTTCACAGAATTAAAAAGGCTTAAAATTTAACAACAATAACAACGTTTAAGATAAGAACTAGACACACAAACCTCATAAAGAATGAATGAAGATAAATACATGCAGAAAAGAAATCAGACAATTGCTGCAACAAAGTATTAAGCAATAATAATAATAGTAATGCAAAGAAAATAACATGCATATTGTCAAATAAGAGTATGCCTATTATAGCAGAGGACTTTAACAAATGGAAGAACGTACCATGCTCATGGCTGGGAAGAATCAACATTGTTAAAGTGTCTATACTTCCCAGAGCAATTTACAGATTCAACGCCATCCCTATTAAAATACCAACATCCTATTTTCAAGACTTGGAAAAAATGATTCTGCGTTTTGTATGGAACCAGGAAAAAACCCACATAGCTAAGGCAGTTCTTAGTAATAAAAACAAAGCCGAGGGATCACCATACCAGATTTTAGGCTGTACTACAAGGCCATACTAGTCAAGACAGCATGGTACTGGCACAAAAAAAGAGACATAGACATTTGGAATTGAACAGAAAACCAAGAAATGAAACCAACAACTTACAGCCACCTAATCTTCAATAAACCTAATAAGAACATCCACTGGGGGAAAGACTCCCTGTTCAATACATGGTGCTGGGAGAATTGGATATTCACATGAAAAAGACTGAAACTGGATCTGCACCTTTCTTCACTCACAAAAATTGATTCAAGATGGATAATGGACTTAAATTTAAGGCATGAAATGATAAAAATCCTCAAAGAAACATTGGAAGATATCGGCCTGGGGAAAGACTTTATGAAGGAGACTGCCATGGCAATAGACGACCACAACAATAAACAAATGGGATTTAATTAAATTGAAAAGCTTCTGTACAGCCAAGGAGACAGCAGCCAAAGCAAAACTTTTCAATTAAAAAAATTTCTCCCTTAAAAACTTAAAACATTTATTAGAAGAATGTTTTGCTGACATTTTAATTGTTCTTCTTCAATCTGTGTCCAGTTGTGACTAACAAGCAACAAGAATATACAGATCAGAATACCACTATAGGCATCATCAGAATACCACTATAGGCACACGCACATACGCGCGTCTATGCATATTTATCTCTGATGGTGCAACACCCTACAGAAATGAAAAGGTTACTTACAATCCAGACACGTGTTTGCTTTTCTCCAGCTCCTTCTAGATCAGTGGTTCTTAACCTTCCAAACGCTGTAACCCTTTAATATAGTTCCTGTGGGCTGCGACCCACAGGTTGAGAACCACTGTTCTAGACGGTACCCAACATTGTTTAAAATTTTTGAAATTTTCTTAAGATAGGGTAGCCTAAATGAACAAAGAAAAACATTAAAAATAAAATATTTAAAATTTGTTTATCAAAAAAGAACTGTCATTCAAGTAGTTCACCAACTGAGTAAAGATGATCTAATTATGATACAGTCATTCCTAGAAAAACTCAGTATTCTAGAACCATAACAGATGGTCTGTGGGAAATGAGACTTTTTCTTTTTTACATAAGGGACAAGAAGGAAGGTATTCTGAGAGATGACTGTAAGAAACGGTCCTTAGGTTCCACATATTAAAACCTTTTAGCAGCTTTATAGGGATGGGGGAAATTATTGCTATACATGAGGCTACATGAGAAATATCAAGAACTTGAAGATTTCTTCTTAATTGTGATTCTAATGTATTGACTAGTGACTAAGCAAACTAAATTAAGCAACAGGTAAACTTGTGTCATTGTTTCGTAGGTCACTGTTACTTTCTTACTTGTTTAGTGGGTTACAGCTACTTCTCTGTAAGCAGATAAAAGCAAAAATGATATAAAGACTGTAACTCGGCTCGGCGCCTATAGCTCAACCGGCTAATGCGCCAGCCACGTACACCTAAGGTGGCGGGTTCGAATCCCCAGCCCGGACCCGCCAAACAACAATGATGGCTGCAACCAAAAAAATAGCCGGGCGTTGTGGCGGGCGCCTGTGGTCCCAGCTACTTGGGAGGCTGAGGCAGGAGACTCGCTTGAGCCCAGGAGTTGGAGGTTGCTGTGAGCTGTAATGCCACGACACTCTGCCCAGGGGGACAGCTTGAGGCTCTGTCTCAAAGAAAAAAAAAAAAAAAAGACTGTAACTCATAGCCAGGCGTTGTGGTGGGCGCCTGTGGTCCCAGCTACTTGGGAGGCTGAGGCAAGAGAATCCCTTAAGCCCAAGAGTTTGAGGTTGCTGTGAGCTGTGACACCATAGCACTCTACCAAGGGTGATATAGTGAGACTCTGCTTCAAAAAAAAAAAAAAGACTATACTCTAGTAGGCACTCACAAAACCAGGGCAGAACTGGTGTAGATTTGTATTGTAGCTACTACATGAAAACTACACTAAAAAACACAGCACACTTACCAAGTGTAAAACATTATACAATCTTTACAATTACTTGTCTGGCCTAAAAACCTTCCTAGCAATTAAATTAAATTCACTTCCTCCCCAGGCTTCCCTTCCACCAAGTACTGGGTATAGATTTGAGTATGCCAGAAATATGCTTCCTCTACTTCCTCACCAGAGTCTTGGTTATGTTATCAGGCCTGGTTCTGGATCTGCTCTCAGCCTCAACAAGTCCTGAGCCTCTTCCCTTTCCCAGAATGAGCACCATTGGGTCTGTACTTCTTCCCTGCTGGCCTCCAACTCCTCTCCCTGCTTGCTTCCTCAATATACTAACACCTCCTCTTTCTACTGTTGTAGAGCCCTAATCTGAAAAGTATGCTTTCTCTGCTCCTACACTCCGAAATAAGGGTGGGAGACAAGTGAGACTACCAAGGGCGACATAAAGTGACACTGTCTCAAAAAAAGAATTAAAAAGTACTCAATTTTTTTTTTTTGAGACAGTCTCAAGCTGGTGCCCTGGGTAGAGTGCTGTAGCATCACAGCTCACAGCAACCTCAAACTCTTGGGCTTAAGTGATTCTCTTGCCTCAGCCTTCCAAGTAGCTGGGACTACAGGAGCCTGCCACAACACCCTGCATTTTTTTTTTTGTTGCAGTTGCCATTGTTGTTGTTGTTGTTGTTGTTTTTAACTGGTCTGGGCGAGGTTTGAACCCGCCAGCCTCAGTGTATGTGGCTGGCACCCTACCCACTGAGCTACGGATGTTGCCCAAAAAATATAAAAGTTTTATCAACATAAATATTTCTGTGTCCCTTTTTTGGAGGCAGAGTCCCACTTTGTCACCCTGGGTAGAGTGCTGTATCATAGCTCTTACCAACCTCAAACTTCTGGGTTCAAGTGACTTGCCTCACCCTTTTGAGGAGCTGGGACTACAGATGCCCAGCACAATGCCTTGCTAATTTTTTAGAGATGGGGTCTTACTCTTCCTCAGGCTGGTCTCGAACTCCCGAGCTCAGGTAATCCACCTACCTTGGCCTCCCAGAGTGCTAGGATTAAAGGCGTGAGCCACCGTGGCCTTTCTGTCTTCCTTTGTAGTCAAGTCTCTCCCACACGCACCTCTGAAACCACTCATCTGTTTTCTCTCCCTATAGTTTTGCCTTTACAAGACTGTCCTATAAATAGACCCATACAATATGTAGCCTCTGAGTCTAGCTTTTTTCACTTAGAAAAACATACTTGAGGCTAAGCATAATAACTCACACCTATAATCGTAGCACTCTGGGAGGCCAAGGTAGGTAGATCACTTGAGCTCAGGAGTCTGAGGAGCTCAAGACCAGCCTGAGCAAGAGAACCCATCTCTAGTAAAAATGAAAAACTGAGAAAAGAGAATCACTTGGGCCCAAGAGTTTGAAGTTGCTGTAAGCTATGATGTTACAGCGCTCTACCAAGGGTGACAAAGTGAGACTCTGTCTCAAAAAAAAAAAGAAAAGGAAAACGTACTTGAGAATTAACCATCTTGTCGTGTACACCAGTAGTATATTCCTTTTATTAGTTAGGATATTTGTACCACTCCTTTGTAAAATTACTTTCTTTATACGTTCCCCAGCTGAGGAATACCTAGCCTATTTGAAGTTTCTGGTAAACATGAATGAAACAGGTATAAATATTTGCATATAGGTTAAAGTTGTTTACCATCCCAACCACAGGCCTGTTGATTTTTGCAAACTCCCTCATCCTTGACAAATCGTTTAAAGTCAAGGACGAATCTCTGAAGTGTCTTCCAGATGCCACTATACACTCCCTAGTGACATCACCACAAGCCCAAGCAAGGTTCCTGATGAGTCTTAGATGCTGTAATCCTTCAGAATTACATCAGTGTCCTCTCAGTTGCAGCAATAGTGTGAGCAAAGGTCCTCCCTAAGTAGGAGGATAGATAGACCTAGTCCCTTTGGTTGATCAGATGAGTGGTATTTGGAGGGAGAAATAATTCTGATATTGGAATGAAGACCACCAATAAGGGGAGGTATGGGAGCATTATCAACAATAAACAAAATCTTGAAAGATATAATAGAGACTGAGTCGCCCATAATTTTTTAGTGCTCCTGTAGTACAGGGCAGTGTGTGTTTACTGATGTGCTTGAAGGTACTACAGTTCTCACAGTGCCAGATCACAAGGGCTTCAATTCATACAGGCTGTGCTGCCCCAAAGGTTATCCTGTCCTTAGGAGGCTTGAAACCTGGCATTGACTTGGCTTCCTTATGAATGAAAATCATTTCAAGAATGAAGAGGTTTTATCATTTCTCCATTTCTAGAATGGAGAGGTTTTATCCATAGTGAAGATTTGCTCTGGCAAATAATTTTCCTTCATAATCAGCTTTCCTTCATATCTAGCTTCTAAAAATTCTTTAGCT